TATATATATATATATATATATATATATATATATATATATATATATATATATATATATAATTATACGACAGACAAATTCGATTTAGATATTTTATACAATTTCTCATGTGATCTTATAAATATTTTCTCTTTGGATGATAAATTATATAAAACTGTCTGATTGTTTTTTTTATCAAGCGCTTTCGGCTATACATTTAGCCATTTTCAAGGTAGAAATATATTAACTGATAAAAAAAAAGCCTGTTGTATATATATATATATATATATATATATATATATATATATATATATATATATATATATTTTATGCATGTATATATTTCTTGTTAAAAGTTAATATATTTCAACCTTGAAAATGGATAAATGTACAGACGAATGAGCTTGAATAAAAAGAATAATTAGACAGTTTTTATATAATTTATCATCCAAAAAGAAAAATAATTATTAGATCACACGAGAAATTGTATAAAAACTAAATCAAAGCACCTTGTGTTTCGTATTCAATGAAATGTGCATGAAAGAAGGATTGCTGCCTATTGAAAGCACAGTGCAGGAATGGATAGCGGATTGGATTGAGGAATCTGAGAGCCGAGTTCGAATTCCAGTCGAATCCATTAAATTCACTTACGTGCTAATACCCTTGGGAAAGGTGTGAATCCTCCTCTTCTCCCTCCAGCTATGGGTAAATAGCAGGACAGACCGGGTTCTATAGCCTTGGATGGAAACTGGTCTAGGAGAAAGACAACTCTGAATTCAAATCCTGTGGAGGGTCGTTTGGGAACCTTGTGGCACTTAGTGCACCAGGTCTCTGTATTCGGCCCTTCAAAAAGGTGTGGATGGTCCTGCACGAAACCTTCACCACTATAATCAAATCTCATATGCTGTTGTTGGGCTGTCGGTTTCCTGGGAACTGATCTGCTTGACCCTCATACGTCGAATTCGACGGGAGAGTCGAATATATATATATATATATATATATATATATATATATATATATATATATATATATATTAATTATTTTCTTAAAAATATGATTCCATCGCTGCATAAGAGTTTCATCTTTTCAAAAACAGAAGCTAAAAACCAGCTCTGTTTTATCCTCAAAACTTCGCCTGAGGATGAAACAGAACTGATTTTTTAGCTTCTGTTTTTGAAACATGAGAACTCTTATGTAGCGATGGAATCATATTTGTAAAAAAAATAATTATAATTTAGGCTCTACTTATGTATTGAGCACTGTTTGTTAAAAATAAAAACAAAAATACTAAAGAACTTTGGATTATTTACCTAACGGTTCTTTCCTCTTTTTCTATACTTTCCCACACACACACGCACACACACACACACACACACACACACACACACACACACACACACACACATATATATATATAAATAAATAAAGACAGATCTATAGATATATGCATACATTCATATATATATATATATATATATATATATATATATATATATATAATAAAGGGAGAGAGTGGTGTGTATGTGTGTACACATAGGAATCTACAGTTCATGCTAATAGTCAGTTTCACCCCACAATGCGATCTTCAGGCCAAGTCGTACTAATTATACATTATATATATATATTTATGTTGGTCACACCACAAACTCGCTTTCACGACGCTTGACACTACATTTTAATGAAAACTCTAACATTTTTAGGCATTTAAAACAGCATGCCTGCCCACACACACAATTCTGTAAAATACTTGTCGAAAACACAACTATACTTCGACATGAAAACAATAGACAAAAACTAAAAATACATCAAACAGTTGAAACCCAACCTAAACAAAATCAATTATGGCATCTCTACAAATATTTTAAATGTCTATAATTGGTAACAGAAGCCATTGGTTTATACCAACGGCTTTCCATACTTCATTCTCCAATTCACTCTCGTGTGGTCATGAGATGTGGTGCGATTTTTGCTTCTAGCGTCTTATATGCGCGTGTTTATCGTTGCTTAGAGATCATCAATGTAAACAATGACAGACTATCATCACTGTCGTGTCCTTATATTGTTTAATATGTTGTAATTGACATCTTTGATAATGGTTTAAGTAAGCCGAAAGCTTAGATTATATTAAAAAAAATATGGATCAATATTGTGAATTTCTTTCTTCGTTTAACGATAATGTTATTAAACTTATCAGATGTTACGAAAAAAATTTACATAAAATAAATAAACACTTGTTTATATTATTTAATTAAACGTGTATAAATATATATATATATATATATATATATATATATATATATATATATATATATATATATAGTCAGAGGTCAGAGGGAGAGAGAGAATATCGATGTTTGTAGCAATTTTTTTCCTTGTTGTTAACATGGATGAATTTTGATATCTCCCTTTAAACTTCCTGTAGATAATCACGTGTTCGTCGTTATTTATTTATTCATTTTCCCCGCAGTAATCGCAGTCACTTCACATTAATTAAGCTCAACGTGTTGGGTTCGCCATACTTGAC